GGGGGACTCTCCCCTCCAAACCCTCTCCAAGTTCTCTCAGAATGTTCCAGGCCCAGGCTGACCTCCTGCTCCTTCCTTGATGATCCGACAGGAGGCACATCACACCTGGGCTCTTTTGCCACAGTGGTCTCAGTCTCCTTTTCCCACCACTACCTTCTGGAACACAGTCCCTCAAAGGAAGAATGAGCTTCCTTATTTCTGTCTCCTGACATCTGACACTGCTACAGTCTGTTTAAAATGACAGTTACCGTGCACAACTGCTCTGTAGGTGCCCTGTATTGAAAAAGTGGTGAATCTGGGTTTCTTAAAACACTCAACACTAGACACATGCAAACAGAGGACAGTGCTGAGCTCTGAACAGCGCTGAGCTCTGAACAGCAGAGACTCAGACAAGCCTTTGGTACAGGCTTTGCTGACAGTGATGGCTTTAAGCCTCTTCAGGCACTTCTCAGCCCAGTCAAGTTGCCACCTGCCACTGTAACGCTACAGGCTGGTGGGCCTGTGTAAGTTGCAAGAGCAGGCGGGGCAAACTCAGGCATTCACAAACCATGTCTGAGGTGCTAATGCAACTACATTAATCAGTATAGGCTGGTATAAGTCTACTTGATCAGACTCTCCTGTTCATTCTCTGAACGAGTCCGAGGGTTCCAGTGCTTCCAGCATCCAAGTTGTCCCAGCATACAGAGAAATTGTGAACCACATGAGCAGGACACAACCCTCCACAGCGGGGCCCTCCAGGGATGCCTGCTCGCAGCCAGCCCTGCCAACACAGTCCACTGCACCCCACAGACATCGTTTAGCATTCCCCTTGGCAGCTGCCAGGCAGAAAGTGCTCTGTCACCACCTCGTGACATGAGCTCATCAGCCTGCCTATCTCTCAGGACAGTCCCAATGAGCTCTCTGCTTTTTCTAAAGCACTAACACCACATTCTCATCCAGTGAGCAAGTGCTGATCCCAGGCCATGCTCTGCTCTGTCCTGACACCCTTGTACAGCCTCTCATTGCCCACTCACTGCTTGTTTCATTTCTGGTTGCTGAACACAGAGCCATAACCCCTCTCTCGGCCCTGGGAAACACCAACTTTTCCAACCTTTAAACACTGCTTTTGCAAGAGCTTCCCATGTTCATTCAGGTTTTCTTTTCCCACCCGCTGGCCTGGCTGTCCTAGCTCTCCTCTTACCATCCATACACCAGGATCACATCGTTGTCATTTATCTTCTCAAAGGCAGACCTTGAAATGGCTTCAGCTGCCAGAAGAATCTTCTCCCGCAGATATTTGTCAATAGTGTCCTGCAGCTTCTCCTTTGCCTGGGGAGACAGTGCCATCACATACAGCACGGCCTTCCCACACCATGAACACTGTTGTCCCTCGCAGCCTGGTATGGCTGTAGGCTCAGCTCTGCCCTGCTCCCAGTCAGACTGTATGCTGAATGGCACCTTCCCCTGGGACAGGGGATCTGCAAGACACATGGGGCCACTCCTGACCCAGCACAGGCTCCCAGAAGACCATGGTGCCTCACCATGTCTTTCAGCTGCCATCAGGCCCTCCCCAGCTCTGCCCTTGCACCTCCTGGTCAACTGCTCTGGTCACCCCATGGAGATTTTACTACTCAGACTCTCCAGCTTGACTCCTCTTAGCCCACCAGCCACGCAGCCTCAGGGGTTCTCATGATGTTCACCACCCCTCTGCCCCTTGCTCCACAGCCAGCAGGCTCCTGGGGAGCTTTTTGCATGGGACATAGCTGAGCACTGAAAAACCACATTCTTCTTCACCTGTGACTTTACTGATGCTGCCAGTAAGACACCACCCTGGTGTCTGCTGCGCACATGAGGCCACTCACCTCTTCCTCTCGCAGGGTGTCGGGTAGGCATGAAATCTCCTTCTTAAGGAACTTAATGGCATTGCCCATGCTGGCTGAAAGGGGCCGACACTGGTTCAGGAAGCTGCAGAGAGGAAATATGCTTAGCTCCAGAGCAGCTTGGAGAACAGGACAGCAAGATGGAGGGTGCAGCTGGGCTGGGGATAGTGGGCTAGGAGGTAGGACTCAGAGCCCCAGTAAAGTCAGACCAAGCTTGGGTGGACACCAAGCCAGAGAGGTGATCGATAGATGACACTCAGTGCAGCCTCAGTCCCTCTGCTCCAGCACCAGGAGCCCTCACCTGATGTGTGGCTTCAGCTTGGCCACTAGGTCCCTTGACAGCTCCTCACTGGGGGGAGTTGAGTAATCTCGGATCAGCTAAGACAAGAAGGAAGAGAGCATGATCTCAGGGCACTTGCCCCTTCTGGCTAGGCAGGGCATGCGACCACCCTCACACAAAAGGCTGCAGACCAGCCAGGAATATGTACTGCACAGCTTGACACACTTTCACAGCGGGGTAAAGGGGTGTTCCAGGAACTCAAATTTGCAGTGGTAGCACCAGAATGGGACACCAGCAGGGCCCAGCCCTGGAAACAGTCAGAAAGAGGAGGCTGAAGATGACCGAGCACAGATACAGTCTCAAAAGCCAGGGAATAGGAAGAGATGCCTGTGCATGGTGCAACACCCCACTGCTTGGTGGGCACAGGTAGCTGCTCACATACCTGTTTGAAGACTTCCAGCAGGGCGATGCAACGGGCATTGGAGCCATTGATGATGCCCTGGGAGTATTGGAGGCCAAGGCGTACCACAGCTGGGTGAATTACAGTGGAGGGGATGCTGCAGGGATAAATACAAGAGAGCTGTCAGCAGGGCCCTCTACAGCCCAGGAACAGCCAACCCAGTGCCAGGCCTCCAGCCAAACAACCTGAAGGGTGGCCCAGGACAGCCCCTCTTTGCTCTAAGGAGGAGTCAGGCTAAGCCCACAGCACCCTCTCCTGTGGCCGTGCACTGCTTGAGGGCAGCTCTCCTCACCCCATAGGTATGACATCTGGCTGCCCCAGCCACTGCTCCTCAAACAAAGCAAAAAGTATCCTCCACCACCCCATCAAGCCTATTCCACACACAAGGCCATGATACTCCTTCACTACAGCCATTTTGCGGACACAACCAAAACAGAGCCAAATGCTTGCCAAAGGCCTGGGCTGGGGAGGCCACGTACCTCATCTGCTGTGTCAGTGGCTTCTTCCGGCTGTACTGGTGCAAGTGGGAGAACAGGTTGACCTTGGTGCCATAGTCCTGCCTCAGAGGTACCTGCAGCCAAACAGCACTGATGATGACTTAGCTAAAACTGCCACACAGCCCTGCTTGCTCCAGCACCACCGATCATACCCAGCACTCACAGCACACCAGAGGTCCCCTGTGCCCAGCAGATAACAGACACTTGTCCCACCACACACAACTGCAGCATGACTGCCCTGAAGCACGCAGCTTGTTACCCGGCCCTCCTCCTACCTGCTGCCGCTCCAGCTTCTTGGCCAGTTTCCTCTGGGCAGCGGGATCATCCATCTGCACGTGTTCCGGCAGCCGCTTTACCACTGTGAGGGTAGCAGGGAGGGTAGTGTGAGGTGATGCCAGCCTGGTGCAGCCACCAGTCCAGTCACACTGCCCCAAGACTCAGGGAATACACAGGGTGGCAGTGCCCATGGCACTGTGGAAGGGTTAGTTTCCCACCGCAGGCAACTCCCTCCCTGCTAACCCACCCTATGTTGACAATGGCTTTACCAGACTGGGGCTCGGTCGGAGTCAGCCTGGGCTTGGCTGCTGTGGCTGCCTGGCTCAGCTCCGCTTTCCTGGCCTGCTTCTGGGCCCGCTCAGCCTCCTGCTTGGCCCGGCGCTCTGCCCGCAGCTCAGCTTTGCTTTTGCCCCCTGCAGGCTTCTCACCGTCGTTGGGGCCATCAGCCAAGGCTGGGGGGGATGTGAGATGAGCAGCTACTGCAGGAGATGGAAGAGGGAAGGAAGTCAGTGCCCAGCCTCAATCACCATGAGATACAGCCCAAAAACATGGGGCAGCCTGTGGCAAGAAGATCCTCCTTTGCGCAAGGCTCTGTGTTTGGAGGAACAGATGGGAATACATCCCAAGTTGTCCAGCACCTTGCCACAACCCCTGTGCAGCTGACATGGGACCATCAGACCAGCCCCATATTCAGGAAGGCAGGGGCCTGTCCTCTCTGCATCTCAGTCCCTGCAAACACGCAGGCACTCGAGGTAGCGAGGTCCTGCTGCAGCCTCCCATGACTGGAGGACGCTCCTGCCTCAGGCTGTTCCAGCACAAGGGTCCCAAGCCCCGGAGGCCACCGGGGCCTTGCACAGGGCTGCCCCCGTTCGGGGGGTGGGGAGGGCTGCCGGGGAAAAAGGGGGTCCTCACCCTGCGGCTGCCCTGCCTCGGAGGGCACCCCCAGCTCCGGGGTCTCAGCCAACGGCCCCTTCTCACTCCTTTTCTTTTTCTTCTGCTGTTTCTTCTCCTTCCGCAGCTGCAGCTTCTCCTCCCGGGAGAGTTCCGTGGCCTGCGGGCGCAGACGGTCAGGCAGCCCGCGTCCCCCACGCCCTCCCCGGCGCGGCTCCCAGCACCACGCCGGTCCCGGCCCTGCTCACCTGCGGTCCCTCCGGCGCGGCTGCTTCGGGGCCCGCACCTGGAAGAAGAAGGGTGAGCGGGGCCGGGCTGGTGCCAGTGCCGCGGTCCCGCCGCCCCCCGGCTCCGGTCCGATCCCGTACTCACCGCCCCGCGCCGCCCGCTCCGCCATGACGCCTGCTCCGCCGCTCAGCAGCGCTCCCTGCCGGCGGGACCTGCCGTGACGTCAGCGGCCCCCGCATGACGCGCGGTGACGCCACGCTGTAGGCGCTGTGGGGGCTGTTACCTCTACCGGGGCGCTCCCCTCCGCCGCGGCCTGCGCGGCTCCGGGGGCGCGGCCAGCACCGGGGCAGAGCCGCAGCACGGGGTCGCTGGGACGCTGCCGGCAGCAGGCGCGGGGCTGTCCCTGAGCTCCTGCGGGGCGGAGCGAGAAGGAGCGGGGCCGGGGCCGGCCCCCGCGGGCGTGTTCCGCCGGCCGCGCCATCGCGGGGGCCCCGCGGGGCGGTACCCGGGAGCGCCGGGCTCCGACATGGCGGCTCGCGGCAGGTAGCGGGGGCGCGCGACCCGGCCCGTCCCGGCCCCGCCATGCACTTCTCCATCCCCGAGACCGAGACCCGCGCCGGCGACGGCGGCGCCGCCTACGTGGTGAGCGGGGCCGGCGCGGAGCTGTCCCGCGGGTGCGGGGCGGAGACCCCCGGGCCGCTAGGGCCGGGTCTGAGTCCGACGTTACGGAGTGGTCGCTGCCCGGTGGGGCTGTGCGGGCCAGTAGTCCCGACGCCGGTGCCGGGTGGCCTTGTGCGGGCCGGGGCCGCCATCCCCAGCCGGTATCCCGCTTCCCGGCCGCGCCGCCGCGGCTCCCTAGGGCCGGTAGAGACGAGGCCGAGCCCTCTGCGTTGCGGGGCGGGGGGAAGGACAGCGGGCGGCGGCCACATCCCGTCCCGGGGCCCGGCTCATCCTGGCCCGGCAGCCCGTCCGTCCGTCCCGGCTTCCTGTTTTGCTCGGCGCGCCGTGAACGCCCTCCGGCTTGGCAGCTCCTCCGGAGTCGGTCCCCCGGTCACCGGAGGGACACTGCGGCGGGCTGAGCCCCCTGGGCTGCGCGGCGGTGCGGCCGCAGGGGCCGGGGCCAGGCTCGCTTCTTCGTGCTCGGGGTAAGGGTGGGCGGCTGTGGGCTCCTTGGCCCCGCGGCTGTCAACGTGGGGGTCCCTCGCCTGCCCCTTTTGCCGCGATCCCTCTCTGGGAGACCTCCCGGGTGCTCTCGGCAGCAGGCGGTGGTGTGTCGGGGACACACAGGGTGGTTGTGCGCTGCAGGAAGGGCTGTGAAGCTGTCTTGTGATCCACAGGCAGCTGTGGTTGTACAAGGCCCGCAGGAGCACTCTGCACTTTGCCCTCAGGTGGTGGTCTCAGTGTCAGAGGAGAGCTCCTTCGCAGCCCTGGGTCTGGGCAGGAGCTGGTGACCCCACAGAGATGGTGTGAGAAGCTACTGTGAGCTCCAGTGCGTGCAGGGCCAGCGTGGCCTGGGCCACTGCCTTTGCTGACCCCGGGCAGCCCCAGTTGTCAGGGGCAGGAGGATGCCTGGGGCTTTCAGTGAGTGCAACTGCCATGGGAGGTACATGCCTGGGCTGCAGGGGTTGGCTGGAGGAGCATCTCCATCCCCTGTGGTGCAGTCCTGCCCTCCCAAACACCATTCTGGGGATGGCAGGACCTGCTCTGGCACAGAGGGGAACAGCACTGTCCCCTTGGAGGATACTGCCTGTGGTGGGGTAACTGGGACCTCGGGCATGGAGTCATGTCCCTGGGACTGGGCTCTGTGCAGCTCTGTCTGCAGTGACAGAGGGTTTCTGTCCTCTCCCCCTGGCTGAGGGACGTGTCCTGCTGAGCTTTCTGCAGCAGCTCTTATACTTTCAAGCAGCCCGAAGTGCTGGGGCATGTTCCGGTGGCCCCAGGGTGGGCAGGCAGCACACAAGGAAAGAAACCCTTGCCCTGTGGTGAGAGATGGCTGTGGCCATGCACCCTGGGAGGTGCTGGAGTGAGCCCAAACCTGCAGCCTTTGGCAGTGGGGATGTCTTGGCCATGCAGCTCTGCAGCTGGCCATCAGGCTCCCCTCTGCTGGCCTGAGTGCAGCCTGGGTTGCTGTGCTGGCTGCTGTGTTACTCTGCTCGCTTCTCCAAACGTGTTTGGGGCCTGCAGGATGGAGAGCTGCCGCCTCTCCTTGCTGCCGGGAGTGTGGAGGGGTGTTCTTGCCTGCTGACTTGGGGGACAGCCGTGTCCATGTGGCTCTGTACTCTCCTTGTGGCTGGGCAGCTGCAGGATTACCCCTTCCTGGTGTCTGCTGGGCACATCTCTTGGATGTGCTTCTACTTCCTGAGTGGTTTTGACCATATCCCCAGTGCTGCATGTCTGTGCCAACGCTGACTTGTCTTCAGAAGAGCAGCACACAGAAACCTTTCAGTGCTGTATTGTACTCTTATGTGCAAGTCCTGGGTGTTTGATCTGTCCTCGCTTGCTAGCCCTTGGATGCTGACACAGCTCCTCCTGGTCCTGGCTGTGCATGGGGTCATAGCTATGCCTGCCTGAGGCTGCTTGTTCCATATGTCTACCTCCATTGGGGTGCTGCCCCAATGAGCTGCAGAGGGCCCTGGCCCCACACGGGAAGCACTGCTGAGCTGTGTGCTCTGGGGCAGGCTCTGGAGGGGGTTCAGGTAGTGAGCAGCATGATGCCGGCATTGGTGCCTCTGGGCTGGGGCTGGTGCCTGCAAGGCAAATCCAGCTCCTGCGGTGGTGCCCAGCCTGGGAAATGGCATGTGAGGGGAAAAGGTGGCTCCTGGCACTTCCCAGGATGGGGGCTGAGCTCTGCTGTCGGAGGGGAAGGCTGGGGTGCCCCCTCTGCCCCTCGTGGTGTCTTCAGGAGCATCACCTCCTCCTGGGCTGGGCCCTGCAGGGGCTTCATCCTGGGGTAGCCTGTGGACCTGGGGAGTGCCTGCATCTGACTTGTGTCTCTCCCCACAGGCCTACAACATCCATGTGAATGGGGTGTTGCACTGCCGAGTGCGTTACAGCCAGCTCCTGGGGCTGCATGAGCAGGTAGGGAGCCATCCCCAGTGGTGGTGGGAGCTGCTGTCATCCAGCCCCTGTCCTGTGGGCAGCACTGTGGTGCCTGCTGTGCTTTTGGCAGGCAGGGTGCTGGGTCTGTGGGCTGCTGTTGGGTGCTGCAGGAAGGCCCTGGGTGAGAGCCGCAGCATTGGGTGCTGTGCTGGCTGCAGGCAGGCATGCACTGCCCATGGGGCTGGGCAGGTGATTGTGCTGTTCCTTGGCATTGGGTACAGGCCTTTTCTCCTGTCCTGTGACGTCCTGACTAGGTTCTTGAAAACTCCCCTTGCCAGGGCCCTGGAAATCAGCTGGGGGGGGGGGGGGGGGGGGGGAGGTTAGACTAGCCACCATCTCCCTGGAGGCTCTCATGGCACTCTGCTCTCTTCCCAGTTAAGGAAAGAGTATGGCGCTAATGTTGTCCCAGCCTTTCCCCCAAAGAAGATCTTCACACTCACCCCGGCAGAGGTAGAGCAACGACGGGAACAGCTGGAGAAATACATGCAGGCGGGTAAGCTGGGTCTGCACCGTGCTGCAGCTCAGGGTTGGCTGCCCCCTGCTTGGTCACTCAGGGCACTGGGGCACTACCTGCACCTTCCTTCCTGCACTGCTCTGTCTGCCATGGCACATCTTCATACTCACTCTGGCATTAGCTCACCACCGGACATTGGCCCTGGCAGGGGTGGAGACCCCTGGTGCCTTCACCTGCAGGGTGCCCATAGCCACCCATGTGCATGCCCTAAACACAGCACGTGCTTAGTCTGAGTGCAAACTCTGCGAGGCTCCAGAGCAGACAGGCATTGCTGTGGGTCCCTGCCCCTTCCTGCATAACAACTGACTCCCTGCTCATCTTCCATCCCAGTGCGGCAGGACCCGACACTTGGAGGGAGCGAGATCTTCAACAGCTTCCTGCGCAAAGCCCAGCAGGTGAGGGTGGAGCTGCTGGAGGTGGTGGGCTGCTGGGGCAGCCTGCATGGGGGTGAGTGCCAACCGCTGGGGCCGGGCAGTGCGAGCTGGGGCCCTCGGGCTGTGAGGATGGTCAGCAGTGGGGGGGCCACAGTGGCAATCCTGTTTCTCTCTCCAGGAGACACAGCAGATACCCACAGAGGAGGTGGTGCTGGAAGTGCTACTTTCCAATGGCCAGAAGGTCAAGGTCACCATCCTTACTTCGGACCAGACAGAGGATGTCCTTGAGGTGCCAAAGTTCTTGTGCTGGGCAAGACCAGCTCCTCCTGCGGAGTTCTGTGGCTTCTCATACATGCATGAGCTTCCTTAGCCTGTCAGCCCCTGGCCTTCCCTGCTGAGTCCCTTCCCCAGAGCAGCATTGTCGTGGGGCTGAAGAGCTGGAAAGGGTGTGCTGATGTGTGGGCCAAAACTAATGTCAGGAAGCCCCAGCTGTCTCATGGTGGATGTAATTCCCTCACTCCCTGTCCATTGTCCCCCCTGCCCTGGCCCCCAGCACAGCAGAGGTACTGCTTTCCTGCTGTTGGGAGGCCCCAGAATACACAGAGGCTTAATCCTGCCACGGGGTAAGGATGTAGAAGGGCTGCCTCTCTGCAGGAAGTGGTGACTTCCTGCTCTCACTCCCAGGCTGTGGCCTCCAAGCTGGATCTGCCAGATGACCTGGTTGGCTACTTCAGCCTCTTCCTAGTGAGAGAGACCAAGGATGGAGCTTTCTCCTGTGAGTAGGGCATGCTGGAGCCCCATGAGGGCTGTGGTGGGGCAGCTGCCCTGTACCCTGCCCTGGCACAAGAGCTGTTTATTTGGACCCCATGGCCCTGCCCTGGCTGTGGGGATCCAGTGGGCTCCCCTGGGGTGCCTTGGCTGGCAGGGGTCCGGTGGGCTCCTGCTGACCTGAGCTGCTGCTGAGTTGCCGTTTCCTCGCAGTTGTGCGGAAGCTGCAGGAGTTTGAGCTGCCATACGTGTCAGTCACCAGCCTGCATAACCCCGAGTTCCGGATCATCCTGCGCAAGAGGTGAGCGGCAGGGCTGGAGGGGCAGTGCCTGCTGGAGCAGTGGGGTCTTGTCTGGGCTTTGTGCTCTGCAGAGGGACCTTTCTCTTCCTTCCGTTGCCACCTGTGAGTGCTTTGGCCTGCAGGAATACACCTGGTCTTCCCCAGCCATGACATGCGGTGGCTGGACTGCCCTACTGGGCTTGTTTCCACTTACCCAGACACATAGGGACACGGATGGCTAATGGGGGAGCTGGCCAGAGAGCCAGCCCAGCACCTTGTCCCAACATGGGGGGTGTTTTTCTCCCCATTGCTGTTAGGAGCTGCGGAATAGGTTGACCCATGTGGTTTCCTTCTAGCTACTGGGACTCCTCCTATGATGATGATGTAATGGAGCATCGTGTGGGGTTGAACTTGCTGTATGCACAGGTGAGGGTCAGTGTGGCCCAGCTGGGTGAGGAGGGACACTGTATCTCTCATCTATGGCTGTGTGGAGTCTCGAGTGGCTCTGGGCTCAGCTGCTCACCAACTTCTGCTCCTTGGTAGACGGTGTCAGACATCGAGCATGGATGGATCCTTGTCAACAAAGAACAGCACCGACAGCTGAAGTCCTTGCAGGAAAAAGTCTCCAAGAAGGAGGTAGGGGAGGGCACAGTGCTGTGACTGGAGCAGTCCCAACACCAGACTGGCACCACTCCTGTGTGAACTTGTGGTGCTGAGTTTGTGGCCTGGTGCTGGCCCAGGAGGTATGTTGGGAAGGTGGCAGCCTGTGCTGAGCTTCCCTGGCTCTTTGCAGTTCATCCGCCTGGCCCAGACCCTCAAGTACTACGGCTATCTCAAGTTCGACCCCTGCGTCACTGACTTCCCGGAGAAGGGATGCCATGTAGTCGTCAGTGCTGGCAACAACGAGCTCAACTTCCAGGTGCGGCTGCCCAGCGAGCAGATCAAGGAAGGCAGCTTCAAGGTCACACGCATGCGGTGCTGGCGGGTCACATCCTCGGTGAGTCCTACATGTCTCTGATACCCTAGGGAGCAGGGAGAGGTCTGGTGAGACCTGGCTGTGCCGGGCCGGTCTGACAGCTCTCCCCAGAAGAGGTGCTAGCTGTGTTACCTGCTTCCACCCAGCTGCCCTGGGAAGGGTCTGAGTTGTGCTTTGGGGGTTGAAGGGGTCATGGGTGTGAGGACTTTGGGGGGATTGGTGGTGGTGGAATATCAGTGGGAGCTGGGCAGGGTGTGCAGTGCCCGGCTGGAGCGTGCCCGCTGTCAGCAAAGGGGCCTGGGAAACTGTCTCCTTTCCCTCTGGAGGCTCCCAGCCTCAGAATGTGCCCTTGCAGGTGCCGATGAGCAATGGTCCCTCGGGCAGCAGCCCGGCAAAGTCCGAGGTAAAGCTGGAGCTGGCTTTTGAGTATCTAATGAGCAAGGACCGGCTGCAGTGGGTCACCATCACCAGTCCACAGGTAGGGCTGCCTGTGTGCTAGGCTGGCTGTGCACAAGCATGGAGGTGAGGGAAAAGGCTGGTCTGGTCTGGTCTTGGTGTGCCATGTTGGGAAAGCCGTGGGGGTGTATGAAGCCTTGTGACATGTCTCTCTTGCAGGCCATTATGCTGAGCATCTGCCTGCAGTCCATGGTGGATGAGTTGATGGTGAAAAAGTCTGGAGGCAGCATCAGGAAGGTGAGGGTTGGGGCTGAGTGTTGTCTCTGGGGTGTCATCCCGTTCCACCCTTCTGACTCCCCAGGGTCTAGGCTGGGCCCTGCTTGCTCTCCTCAGCACGGGGCAATATGAAGGATCCCCAGGGGCTGTCTTAACCTCTAGAGCTGCCCATGGGGACCCTGTGGCTGAGCTGAGCTCCTTCCCTGCAGATGTTTCGCCGGCGCATGAATGGAGCCCTGCGGCGCTCAGACAGCCAGCAAGCTGTGAAATCCCCCCCACTGCTGGTGAGTAGGACCCTGCAGCCCTGGTAGGGGAGACAGGTGTGACCATGGGCTTCGCTCTGTGTTGGTACCAGAGCCCACTACCCCCAGAGGTGCTACTATCCCCCTGGCAGGGCTGGGGCAAGCGCAGAGGACAGCAAGGCTGCAGTGCCCCACTCCTGCAGCCCTGGGAAGAGAAAGAGGGCCTGGACTCATCTCCAGGAGCCAGATTCCCTGGGGAGGAGAGGGCAGTCTGGCCTTGTTTCAGGAGCGTGGGGAGATGTGGATTTGGGAAGGGTGGGTGGCATGTCCCACCACCTGAGGGCTTCCTGACCCTGCTGTCCCTACAGGACTCACCTGATGCCTCCAGGGAACCAATGGCCAAACTCTCGGTGAGTTGTGTGTGGGCGCACTGGTGCCATCACCCCTCGGACTCTGGGGGTCCGTAACATCTCCCTAACATCTCCACTCTCCACAGAGCAAGCTTACCTCTGTCAGCCTGCGAGGGATCAGCCACTCCAGCTCTGCTAATGATGTGGGCGCTAATGACTTCCATGGCAATTATGCCTTTGAGGGCATTGGCGATGAAGATCTGTAGTGTCCCCCTTGTAGGACAGCACCCGCCGAGGGCCTTCGCTGAGGAATGTATGACCTGCAGACAGGTTGCAATCAACGTGCCTCTTACCTGCTACATCCACCTTTCCCTGCTCCCCTGGGCTGGGGAGCTCACCCCCTGCCCTCCGCTGCCTTTGGGATGGGGGCAGCTGAACTCCTACTGCTGCTGGCTCCAGCTGGGAGAGGGCCTGTTCCCAGGGTGGCACCAGCTCAACCTGAGCAGCGTGCCCAAGCCGAACCCTGGAGCAGCATCACGGAGCCTGGCCCAGAGCTGGGGGGCAGAGCTGCCCCTTCCCCAGAGCTGCCCTGCGAGGCTGGGCAGAGCCTGGTGGCACCAAGCAGCCCTCGTGAGACTCCGTATATGCCAAATTAGCATTTAGGTTTCTGCTCAGAGACAGGCTGCAGTAAACTGTCTCCAGGGGGCTCTGCGCAGAGCCCCCTCTCTAACCCGCTCATAGACTCCAGTGTAATCTAGGCTTGTAACCACGTATCTTCTGCTGCTCAGACCGACCAGAGCATTAATGGACAGTAACTGATGTTTACACACTGCAATGATGATTAAAATGGATCCTGATTGGTACTGGGCTGTCTGTTGGGGGGTGGCTGCTCTCCCTCTCCTCCCTGCACACCCTTCCAGCCCACGATGTCCTCATCTGAAGCAGAACAAGGTCCCCTGGGAGAATAGCAGATAACAAAACTGACTGTTTAATGCTTTTATACACAATATAAATTACACTGACCAGCATGGCAACAGCCATGGAACCAGTCCTCCCTCCCCCCTTTTCCCCAAGGTCCGGCAGAAGACGACTCCAAAAGGCAGGAACAGGCAGGTATCACCCCCAGGGGCATGGCACTACCACCTCTGGGGCAGGAACCTGAGCTGCTGTTTGTGACTTTGCCAAGGAAGGATAGGGCTGCTGAAGGTCCCAGTGCACCCATGGGCACCACATAAGGCAGCCCTGAGCCCCCGTGGAGTCTGTTGCCCGTCCCTCCCCCAGGGAGGGCAGGGGCTGAGGCACCCTGGGCCTGATGCAGGGCTGGACACCCGTGCAGCTGGGCTAAGTGCTGTCTCAGGGCAGGGCCGTGCCCACAGCTGGAGGAGCCAGGAGGGCTTTGGCATTGCGTGGGTTTACCCAGCTCTCGGCTGTGTGGCCGTGGATCTTCTGGTGGCGCTTGTAGTTGTCCCAATGGCCAGTGGTGTAAGAGCAGTTCCGGCACTGGAAGGGCTTCTCGCCCGTGTGCCGCAGCATGTGCCGCTTCAGGTTCATGCTCTGGTTGCAGCTGTAGCTGCAGAGGCTGCATTGAAAGGGCTTGTCGCCCGAGTGGATGCGCCCGTGACGCTTGAGGTTGGCCAGGTTGCCACAGGCGTAGTCGCAGAGCTGGCACTTGTAGGGCTTCTCGCCCGTGTGCACTCGCTGGTGCCGCTTCAGGTTGTCGAGGTGGGCAGAGGCGTAGGGGCAGAGCGGGCAGGCGAATGGCTTCTCCCCACTGTGTGTCTTCATGTGCCGCGCCAAGTGGTTGGGGTAGTGGGTGACGAAGGGGCAGAAGTTGCAGGAAAAGCCTTTGTCCCCAGTGCCCTTGCGGGGGCTGGCGCCCGGCTCGGTGCCCAGCACTGCCAGGCTGCAGCGCCCACAGACCTGCTCAGCCCGCCCTTCATCCTGCGCAAACCCATCGTCCAGCACCAGCCCACACATGCGGCATGTGAAGGGGTAAAGCAGCTCGGGCAATGCAGCTGCCTCCTCACCCCGCAGCCGAGCGCAGCCAGGCAGGAAGGGGCCGCTGCCGCTGCCCACGTGCAGGCTCAGCTCCGGCAGCATTGGCTCTGTGGGATGAACACAAAGAGGGCTGTGAGCGGGGCGGCACAGCACTGGTCATGGTCAGCTGCATGAGAAGCCCCGGCTGCAGCTGGTGGCACCAGGACTGGCACAAGACACATAAGTGCCATCTCCCCCATCCCCAGGGCTGTGCCATAGAGGCAGCTCCTCCCTTCCCCTCCACCTTTACCTGGGTCCTTGTCCTGCTGGTGCGGCACTTTGCCTTCGGGCAGGCGGTGACTGAGCATGTGCCTCTTCAGGTTTCGGCTCTGGTTGCAGCGATAGTCGCAGGCAGCACACTGGAAGGGCTTGTCCTGGCTGTGGACCCGTTCATGGCGTTTGAGGTTGCCCAGGCTGCTGCAGGCGAAGCTGCAGCACGTGCAGTGGTACGGCTTCTCCCCGGTGTGTGTGCGCAAGTGTCGGGTCAGGTTCACCAGCTGAGCAGAGGCGTAGGCACACTGCGTGCATGCGAACGGCTTCTCCCCGTTGTGTGTTTTCATGTGGCGCTTGAGGTGGCTGGAGTAGTGGGAAGCGAAGGGGCAGAGCTGGCAGGAGTACACGATGCGCTGGCTGCGGCCCCCCTCCGTGCCTGCACACTGCAGGCAGCTCTGCCCGAGGCTGGCAGCCAGCTGCAGCCCGCACTGGCGGCAGGGCAGTGCCGCGGGGCCGGGCTCCCCACCCTCCTCGGGGTCGCTCTCCACGCTCAGCTGCTGGTACCCAGAGGAGCAGTCGTCGTCGCTCAGCGCATACGCCGGCATGGCGATCTTCCCCACCAGGGTGTCTGCTGAGAAGACGATGGGATGGGACGGTGTCAGCACGGCTGGCCCAGGCACAACCTCTTGCTTGCGCAATTGGTCCCAGCAGAGCCCATCTCAAGAAGGGGACTGCAGCCAGGAGGGGCTAGGCAGCTGCATCCACCCAAGCAGCACCCAGCAGGAGCTCACCACATTGTGCACAGCAGGGTGAGAAGTCTCACAGCCATGACCTGCTCTGACATCCTGCTGCAGGGCCTGTCCTCGCCAGGTTGGGAAACCTTGTCACCTCCACTCTATGGCTTGCTCCAGGAATGGCAGGCAGTGTGGAGCACAAGGGTGGGTTGGGTACCCACCAGCACTGCTGGGACTGGCTGGTAGGAAGCAGTAATAGTGGGAAGGTGTTCGGTGCAGCCTGACTCAGGCAGGAGAGCTGGCTGCCGATAAAGTTTGCTCTGGGCTTCCTCTCGCTATGCTGCTGCCCTAGCCCAGGGATGGCAGCCAGTCCTGCTCCCATGGCCAACTCTATGGGGCTCCAACACCAGCCTCCTTCCATCATGCAGGAAAACAGACCTTCCTGGGCCCCAGCCAGAGCTGCTGCCTCATGGCAGTGGGAGGAAGTCTGCACCAGGCTCTCAGAGAGCACTTCTGCTTCCTGGCTGGGCAGAGACCTATCCTCCTGCAGCCCCAGGAAGGGATGACAAGCTGAGCCCAGTGCCCTGCAGCCGCCTCCAGGCTAGTGCTCTGGGCCAGAGGGGCAGCAACATGCAGCCAAAACCTTGCCCTGGTCAGCCTCAAGCGGTGTCCAGCTGTCCCCATGCAGCACCTGACCTGGAGCTCTGGAGCCTGTGAGACCCAGCAGATGCCCACCACCCCAGGAGGCAGCCTAGGCTGTCCTCTTCACTGCTGCCCACTCAGGTGGGTCCAGCTCCCAGAGTCTCAGCCAGGTGCAGGGGTGAGGCTGTTCCCATGCTGCAGGGCAAGGCTGCCCAACCTGCTTCCAGTGCCTTTTCACAAGCACTGCCTGAAGTGCAGATGCCAGAACGGGACACCCCACATTGGGCTGGCTATTGCTGGATGAACTCTCGACCCCATCTCAAGCCTCCCACTTCCCTCTGCCTTCTCAGCTCAGGCCCACAGTCCTGCATTGCCATAGTATTCCTGGAGCACTGTCCCCTAAGCATGGCTGCGTCAGTGCTGCCCTTGGGGCGAGGATGAGGATGTGGCCAGTGATGGCTCTCCTGACCTCCTCAGTGGGCCCTGAGATGCCCAGTCCTGCTCCCCAGCTGGGACTGGCAGTTGAGAGTGGTGTGCAAGGTATTTCTGACTTTCAGCCCTCACAGCATCCAGCCCCCAGAGCTGCTGAGAGGGCTTTGTCCTGGCGCTGGGCTCTGCACACAAGCTGTGGGGAAGTGCAGCCCTCGGAGCAGAACCACATCTGCCAGGCAGCTGAGACCGTGCCTCGGCACGAGAGTGGGAGCTGCCGGCACAGCCCAGCATGGGTGCTGAGCACGCAGACCGCAAGACAGCCCTGGTAGACAGCAAGGGGACAGAACCAGAAGGGATGTGGTCTGTGCCACCCATCTCCTTTCACCACACCTTATTCACCACGCACTGTTCAAGGCAATGAGTGGCGCTCCTGCCAGTCCTTGCAAGGCATCTTAATGGAGCTGGATCAGTGTTTGCCCCTCTGGCTACCCCGCACCGCAGGCTGACCTGCTGCCCGGTGTGCTGCTGCTGGGCTGGCACAAAGGGGCTGTGGGACCCCCGGGCCAAGCGAGAATCAGGGTGCAAGAGCTGGCAGACAGCCCCAGGCCAGCTCCCTATACAACATAGGGTCTGCGGTGGGGCAGACTCCAGCTCCCGGGTGGGCAACAAAGCCATGCTCTGACGGCTCCGGGAACCAGGGGCTCCCGGGCGGACCGGTGCGGGCGGCTCGGGGGATGAGGCCCCAGACCAACCGTGGAGCACAAAGCGCCTGGGGGTCCTCAACGGGAGGAAGCGCTGGGGGATCAGAGCCGGGGATCGGGACCACCAGCGCGGGACCCCACCCCAGGAGGTGATCGGGGACGGAGAACACGCCCGGCGACAGAGAAGCCACAGGGCAGGCCTGCTCCCGAGAAGAGGGGAGGCTGCCTGATGGGGCCGAGCGCGGGGCCGGTACCGGCAATGTCCGGGCAGGGTCCCCACCCGGCAACGCTCCCGGAGCCGGGGCCGTCCTCGCGGGGCGCCGCTGCCGGGCCCGGCCGGCGGCACGCACCTGGCGGTCCCTTCTCGAAGGCCAGGCCGCCGGGCAGCATCAGCGCCGCTCCCGCAGTCTCCTCGGGGCCGTCCTCGGCGTCCGATGCAACACACCGAGCGCCGCGGGTCACCGCCGGGCCGCCGCCGCCGCCCCCCGGCCCCGCCGCGCACTCACCCTTCACCGGCTGCGGGTGGCTCTGCTTCCGCCGGGGCATCGTGGTCGGACCTGGCCCCGGCCCGGCCCCACCGCCCGCCCGCCCGCGGCCCGCCAGCCGCCCCCGACAGCCCGGGGCGGCCGCCGCCGCCCCGCCTCGACAGGGCACTTCCGCTTCCGCCCAGACGCGGGGCGGGGCCGCCGGCGGAAGCGGGAGCGGCGCCCCGGAAGCGGACCCGGGGGCCGGAAGCTTGCGCGGGACCCGCTTCCCTCCCGGCCCCGCTCCGGCATGCGGCGGGCGGGCGAGGGGGCCGGGCAGCGGGAGAGGCAGGAGGAGGCCGGGCCGGAGCGGGGTCCCAGCACGTAGGCGGCGGTGGCCGAAGGGGGCGTGGCCAGCGGGAGCCCTGCCCCTTCCTGGGCGGGCGGTGCTGCCGGTGCTGCGTCCCCGGGGGGGCCGCCGGGCCGAGCGCTGACCGTGTCTGTGTCCGTGCACTGTCGGGGTGGCTGCGGCCGCCACCCCCCCCCCCCCCCCCCCCCCCCGCGCTGTCCCGCCAGCACGGCACAGCCCCGGGAGAGCGGGGGCTGCGGGAAGCGTCGGCAGGCCCAGAGCAAGGTGTCCGGTAAGACAGCTGCGGTAGGGAGCGGTGGTACGGCACGGGTGTTCTGTGTGCGGCACAGGCGGACGCAGGAAGTCTAGAGCCCGCGTTGCGCTGGTGCAAGAGGGCAGGGAACGGGCAGGCAGGAGCACACCTGGCTCGTAGTGAGTGCTCTACCAATCATCTTGGTTCTTCCAGCGCTGAGATCCTTTCAGCCTGGATTTACTTGAAGGATCTGGGGCTTTTGGGAGTGCAGGGAGAGATTCGTTGTTGTGCGTATGGTCTGATATCAAGCGACAACTGAAAACGTCCTTTGGAGGTGTCCATCAGTGTCCTGCTCCTTTGTACTGCCCTGGGGAGAGGAATGAGGCCAGTCATGGATTCATGGATCAGGCTGCCCAGAGAGGTTGTGTGGTCCTTGGTCTGGGAGGTCTTCTAGACCTAGGTGGCATAAAGCGCGTAACCACAGGGGTGACCCTCATTTGGATCACCAAATGAGGGCAGGAAGGTGGACTGGGGACCTCTGGCGGTCTCTTTCCACCTGACTTATGGTGATCATGGTGACCCCAGTGGGAACTGGCTGCAGAAGAAGGGGAGCCCAGCTCCCCAGGCTCCAGGAGTGGCCCCAGTGTTGGGTACAGTGGCCATGCTGTGTTCCTCTGTGGTCATTCCCTTTGCCAGTTCTATCTCCACACTCTTACAAGGACTGCAGAGTTGAGAATTATTGCCTGGTTCTCCCAGGAGTGGGTGATGGGCCTCCCTGCAGTGCAGCTCCTGGAATGACCCTGTGGTTCATAACCCCTGTTCCCAGAAAATCCCCCCCACTTTACATGGCTTGGCTCCCGGACACTCAGGCATGCTCTTACCCTGCCAAACAAAGAGCCTGCTGGGTCCTGGGGATGCCACGATGGCACTACACAAAACCCAATCACACCTCTGCACGTAGGGAGCTCAGCCATGTCACGCTTTCCTCTGCTGTGGTTGGTTTCCTACAGATTCTCTCTCTGGTGTCCCAGTGTTATGCAGACCAGCACAGGCGCCCAGGGCTTTGCATCCCACTTCTTGGGGAGAAGGGCCCCTGGTTACCCTGCCTGGGGGCTTGTTTGGCCCATCTCCAGGGGTGGTTTGCTGTGCAGTTGTGTGTGTGTTGTGGCAGCAGCCCTGCTCTGCTTCAGCTGTATCTTGTACTCATCCTTTCTCTGCCTAGGTCCGTGCCCTGGATGTGGTCCCCATTTATAGAACTCGTGCCTTCTCTGTGGCTCCATTAGTAGAGCTGTCTGACATCTCCAAACAACTCTGGCTGTCTGAGCTGCTGCTGAGCCTCTTCACGGGTAGTGTTTGCTTATTTGCAGGTCCTTGAGGGAATCGAATGTGTTGGACTTGTGGTAGTCCCAGGGGAGCCATGTCCACGTGTGTCCGCAATGCTTCCCCACTGACAGGTACCTCGGGGCCAGAGGAGGGGGCTGGTGCTTATTCACTTGTGTTGTGCAGCCATTTAGTCCAGTGTCGCAGTCCTGCTGCAGGAGCATGTTCCTTCCTGCTCTCCTCCTGCAGTAATTTCCACTCTAACAGCCATTTAAATCCAATCTCAGCCCAATTTCCATGAGCTCTTCAGTTGCTACGGGAAAGTGCTCTATTACCTTGGGTGGCATGGTGAGCACCTTGCTTGTTCCCAGCAGACTCCTTGGTCTTCTCTGAGCCATCACTAATACTTCCAGTGCCAGCACTTGTGGTATTTCAGCTGTGCTCAAGTGGAAAAAGCAGCAGAGGAGGTGGATGTTGTGGAGGTGTAAAGTGTAGGGTGCAGCTCTTGGGGTATAGATAAGGAAGGAGCAAGGAGAACTGTGCTCTGATGTCAGGAGGATGCATTGTTGTGTGGCCATGGACTTGTAAGCTACAAGTAAGGAAAAACTGACAGATTTATCTTCTCTCTCCTGTAATCACCTGGCTCTTGGGTTCCCTGGCTTGGTTGCCTCTTCTACAACCTCAGCAGAAGTTTGGGAGAGGCAGGTTGTAGTGCAGCACTAGTGACACTGGGAATCATTCAGAAGTGACCGCTCCCCATGAGGTCCTGCTGCCCTGGGTTGCAGGGCATGTGGAGGAGCCCTCTCTTCCCAGGATGTGTTAGGATCCAGCCTTTGTGGAGGAAGCACTTTCTTTGTGGCAGTGAGATGTTCCCTGCTCTCCTGTGAGCTAACTCTGAGTAGGGGTAGTGGGTGATGGTGGTTGTGATTAGCCCTGAGTTTTCCTCTGGGCTCCCTCCAGCTAGCCATTGCTGGGAGCTTCCTGATGCAGGCTGGGTGAAGGAGCTTGTTTCTGTGGTGCCAAGTGGGGGTGTCCCTATGGGCCCAGTCTTGGACATTTGAGTTTCATTCAGCGCTTCAGCCATATCTCTCTTTGGAGAGGAAAGTCACAGACACTTGGAGTGGTGAGGGGTGTGATTATTGCACTGCTCTATGTACACAGTGGTTCTCATGGTGTTTGCCACTGCCTTCCTTGCAAAGAGCACTGCCTCCCCCTCCTTGGGGAATCTGGGAGGTCCTGTCCCTCTGGACTTTATTGCTGAACTGAAAGAGATGGGAAGGGGCAGAACAGAGCTGGCTCAGGGGCGCATGGGCAGCTGGAGAGGGTCTGTGGCTGCATTGCCCAAGCTCAGCGTGGAACAGGTCAGCCATAGTACTGTCACTGGGGCCCTTGGGCCAGTGTGGGTACAAGGCTGGACATAATGGCTGTAGGTGACCGTGGGCGTACTAACCAGGCAAGACATGTTTGTGGGAGCTCAAGGTCAGGTGCTTTGATTCTTCCCTTTGGTTTGATGGGAGGGAGCATATCAGCAGGAGCATGTGAAGGAAGGACAGGTTCTGTCTTTGTGCTCAGTGGCTGTGCTGCCATGCTGGAGGATGCAGGAGGTGGGCAAAGTCCTGGGCCCTGGCAGAGCACCGCTGGCAGCTGTCTTGGCTTGTCCTGAAGCTGCTGGGGTGTTTTTGATGGCATAGCCCTGGGGTCCAGCAGTGGGGTTTGTGGGTGCTGAGGCTGTGTTCCCATGCCTGCAGCCCAGGGCTCGCTCTCATGTGTGGTTCCATTGCAGGCTGAACAGCACCGACTGCAGCTGGAGATGGTTCAGCCACTGCCTGTGGGGAGGATGCTGGCTCTGAGGCCTGGGTAGGAGCCAGGCCATGAGGGCCGTGCTGGGGCTGGCACCTCCCTCCTGCCCTCCGTAGCCTGACAGCAGCCGGCTGCCACCCTGGCGGGCCACCATGGAGCGGCCCATGCGTGTGCACCTCCACCTCCTGGGCTTCTTTGGGCGGAAGCCACAGGCTGTCGGAGGGGAGACGTCACCAGAGCAGGAGGCAGAGCCGGCAGAACCTGAGGAGATGTGCATCGCGCTGCCCCTGGGCGAGGACGGGGAGCTGGTGGAGTGTCCCCTGTGCCTGCTGCCCCAGCCGCCCGAGGCCTTTCCCACCCTGGCCTCCTGCGAGCACCGCTCCTGCCGGGCCTGCCTGGAGCAGTACCTGCGCATCGCCGTCAGCGAGAGCCGTGTGCAGGTGGCCTGCCCGCACTGCCCGGCCGCGCTGCAGCCTGACGACGTCCACCGCCTCCTGGCTGAGCCCTCCCTCCGTGACAAGTACGAGGAGTTCCTCCTGCGGCGGCTGCTAGCGGCTGATCCCAGCACCCGCTGGTGTCCTGCACCCAACTGCAGGTGAGCGGCTGGGCCCTCGTGTGGAGGCAGGAGCAGCTGGGAGCTGGTGCGTGGTGAACTGTGCCTGTGCTTCATAGACTCACAGACTGGTTTGGGTTGGAAGGGACCTTAAAGCTCGTCCAGTTCCAAACCCCTGCCATGAGCCGGGACACCTTCCACTAGAGCAGGTTGCTCCAAGCCCCGTCCAACCTGGCCTTGAACACTGCCAGGGATGGGGCAGCCACAGCTTCTCTGGGCAACCTGTGCCAGGGCCTCACCACCCTCATAGTAAATAAGTGTCCTGTGAGTTTTTCGCAGGCTCAGTCCTCTTGTGACTTGATCCTTTGTGGGGTTGGGTTTGCTCAGAGAGATGTCCCAGTTCCTGTCCCATCTGCAGGGCACAGGCAGCTGTGTCTGTGCCAGGGTTGGTGCTCTTGGCCATGCTGCAGCAGCCCATGAGATCCCTGGGGAGCTGTGTGGGTGCTGGGTGGGGAAAGCTCTGCTGCAGTCTGAGCTGGTCACAGTGTCTCCTGGCTCTCCTGAGCAGGGGCTGCAGCTCTGTCTCAGCATGGAGCTGGGACCTGCCCCTGCATGACCTGGCTGTGCTGGGGAGGGGAATGGCTGCGTGCTGTGCAGGGATGCAGGGAGGGCGCTGCTGAACCCCCTACGCTGACTCCTTTCTCCCCACAGCTACGCTGTCATTGCCTATGGCTGTGCCGAGTGTCCCCGCCTCACCTGCGGGCGCGAGGGCTGTGGCACCGAGTTCTGCTACCACTGCCGGCAGCCCTGGCACCCCGATGGCCCTTGTGTGCCAGCACTGCCAGCCCCTGGCCTGGCCAACACAGCACAGCCAGTCCACGTGGAGGACTCGACCCATGGTGAGACCCTGGAGCAGGGTGGGAGCAAGCAGGTCAGAGGTTTGGCATAGCTGAGCCACAGTCAAATACCTTTGTACTTTCCTGCCTGTGGGGATGCTGGAACCAGGACCCCATGGTCCCCACTGGCTGCCTGTCTGTGGAGGCATGTAGCCCCTGTGCCTGTTGAGCTGGGGCTGTGGAGCGGGACTTTGCTTTGCCTGGCTCACCCCGATACCTATGGGACAGGCTGAACTCCTTGGTCAGTGTATGGAGGGGGAGCTGCACTGTCCTGTCCTGCTCCCCCCATCTCATCTCTCTTTCCCCCTGGCAGCTGAGGCTGAGAACATCAAGGTCTGTCCCCGCTGCAGTGCCTTCATCATGAAGATCAATGATGGGAGCTGCAACCGCATGAACTGCACAGTGTGTGGCTGCCTCTTCTGCTGGCTCTGCCTGCAGGAGATCTCTGATGTGCACTTCCTGAGGTCAGTGCAGGGCTGAGGGGCCATGGGGTGTGCTGGGGGGCAAGGGTGGAGGAGCTGCCAGGAGCTGGGGGGTGGCTGAGATGCTGGGTTGGAGGTCCTGCCAGGAGTTGTGGGGATAGGAATGGGGAACAGTTGAGGCCTCTCTGAGAGCCACAGCCACGTTTGGGGATCCCTGGGCTGTCGGGCTGACTTGTGGGGGGGGAAGCAGAGTGCTCTGTACTGTCAACAGCCTTTGGCCCAGCCCCACTCTATCCTCACAGCCCCTCTGGCTGCACCTTCTGGGGGAAGAGGCCTTGGTCGAGGACCCGAAAGATCCTGTGGCAGCTGGGCATGGTGCTGGGGGCACCCATGGTGATCTCCCTCGTCGCAGGCATCGCTGTCCCTGTCATTACCATCGGGATCCCTGTCTACATGGGTAGGAAGGTACTGGCAGGGGGCCCTGGAGTTCCAGTGATCCTCCTCCCCTCTGAGCCTCAGGCCTGGACAACACAGTGCTCACCACTGCATGTCCCTGTGTCACCTTCGACTCCCCACAGCCCTCCTTCTGGGGACCCTCGCTGCTGCCCACCCCAACACCAGTTGGGTACTGTCAGCCTGGAGAGGTTGGAGTTGTGGATGATTGTGAAAGGAAGAAAGGGTTTGGGGCCCCAGGGGTGTTTTCCAGGAACACCTGAGTAGTGGTGGCAGCACCATAGTGGCTGCCTGTCCCTGAGGAAGTGGATGGGGTGTCTGGGTGCTGTGGCTGCAGCTGGAGCTCTGCCAGGGCTGGGAAGAGGCTATATCCCTGGGGACTGCACACTGAAATCTCTGCAGAGCCCTTCACCTGTCTTGCTCCTCCTCGAGGTGCTGGGCCAGAGCCGGAGGAGCAGCCTGTCAGGGTGCCAGCAGTGCCTCTCTGTCACCAGCAGTGTCCTTCTGTCTCTGTTTGTGTCTCCCATCATAACAGCTGTCACTGTGGGTAAGTGTGCTGTGCCAGGGCTGAGGGTATTGGAGGCCACTGCAGCAGAGTGTCTGTGAGTGGGGGATGTTGGACCTGGGGCACAGGGTTTCACCCAGTACCTGCCTGTCTGCCTGCAGGAGTCGGCGTGCCCCTCATGCTCACCTATGTCTATGGGGTGGTGGTGCTGTCACTGTGTCGGAGCCGCTGGGGCTGTGGCCGCAGCCCGCCCGGGGACCTCGGTGTGGTGGAGCTGGAGAACCTGACCAAGCGTGAGTCCAGTGCTGCCGTCTGTCCACTGGCCTTTGCTTGCCATTGGGCCCCATGGGCCCTGCTCCTGCCTCATGTCTCTGTGGCTGTGAGCTCTCCAGAGAAAGGATCTCCCCGTGGATTTGTGTTGGTTCTGCCCCAGGTGCTACCACACACACCTCTGTCCCTGCAGGCTGGTGTCCTGGGGAAGGTGCTGCCCGAAGTGCTTTGGGAGCAGCTTGTTGGCACCCCGAGCTGAGAACCTTGCGGGCTGTTCTGCTCCCTGTTCTGACAGGAGCAGTCCTTGCAAACAAGGTGCTCAGCTCCGTATCTCCCTCCAGAAGTGAATGAGCTGCGGTCAGTGCTGCCCAGCCCCAGGCCCGTTGAGGATGGAGTCCCAGACACAACCATCTCTGTCCCCAGCAGCAGCCGTAGCCCACGCCATGGGACGGTGTGGCAGGAGCAGGACAGCCAGTCAGCCAGCACGGTGGCCCTCACAGGGAACATGCTGACTGAAGGCGTGGACATGTCCAATAGGTGAGTGGGAGCCGCTGTGCTGGGGAGGTGGGGGTGAATGACACATCCCCTTCCTAACAGTCTTCCCCACACCCGCTGTACCAGCCAAGGGCATGGTCACATCCCCCGTTAGGCTGCTGCCCACAGCCCTGTATTTGTCTGCAGGGAAGGTATCAGCATCGAGGTGGAGGTGTCCATCGAAGCAGTGCCACATCCTGCCCGGCAGCAGAGTCTGTGCAGTGCCCCATCAGGGCAGAGCCTCTCTGGGGACTCCCTTGGATGCACCAGCGACAGGTCCAGCACTGTGGGCATCCCCACGGAGTGAGGGGGGAGATCCCCGATCCACAGAACCCCCCCTGCCCCTTGCACAAACATCCTGTGCCCTCCTGGGGCAGAGCTGGTCACTCTCTGCGCAGCACCACCAGCCCCATGCTGGATGGGCTCTGACTGTGCTTGGTGCTCCCTGTGCCCAGCCACATCCACCCGTTCCCTGAAGGCAGCCCTGAGCATTGGCACAGCTGGGAAATAAAAGCTACTCTCTGAGGGTCTGTCTGTCTCCTGCGGCACAGCCATGCCCTGACAGCTCAGTCCCCATCACAGCAGGCTCTTGATTGTGGTGCATTCTCTGATGGGTGTTACAGGAGAGAAGGTGGGGTAGGGTGGTCCCAGCCCCACAGAGGTGCAGGCGGGGGGGGACAGGTAGACCCAGGGAGCAGGGCAAGCATGGGAATACTCCCTTGTGCAAACACTCCAGCAAACTAGGCTCTGTGGTGCCTGGCTGGCAGTTGGGAAGGTGGGATGTTGCTGCAGAGCCTCAGCCAGTACCAGCAAACAAAGCAGCTCACACAGGGGCTGAGTCCTGCCCCGGCTGGGCCAGTTGCTGGTGCAGTGTGTGGCACCCATGGGTCCTTTGTGCCCCCAGCTATCGTCCTGGGAGCAGCATGTAGCTTCCTGCAGACAGACCTCAAGTGTGGTGCAGGACAGCAGCACCCCCTGATGGTGGGAGACCAGGGCAGAGCTGGGGAGTACAGGGGGCTCTCTGTGATGTCCTGTGTCTGTCGATGTGTCCCTGCCCGCCCCTGGCTGGTCCAGCAGCATGCGAAGGGTTGCCAGGGCTGTTGGAGAGGAGGGCTGTGCCTGGGCCAGCTGGGGGTGATGCTTTAGCATGTGGGGTGCTGCAGCACAAGGACTTACTTGTATCCTTGTGATAGGCACCCACTCCAAAGAAGGAGCGAAAACTGCTGAAGGTCCCAGGTGGAGGCACCAGCATAGCTCTGGGGCTCCACATCCTGCATTGGCATCCCTCCCCACCCCATGGGATGCTGTCACAGGCTGTAGGGAGCCCGTAGCTGGATACAGATGAGGTGGCCAACCTGGCGCCTCCAGTAACCAACTCTCAGACCTCAGGTTGCTCCAGGAGGACAGAGCACATAGTAAATGGTCTAAACCCAGTTACATCTCAATATAAATTACTAACGTGAGATCACTGCTGGCCAGAATCATTTTAGAGGATACCACAGAGGCTGGTGCTAACGCCTGTATCAAAACTTTTCCTAAATGACCAGGAAGAATGTCTAAAACCAAACTCGAGACAGATGCTTTGCAGCAGGAATAAGGCAGTGGGCACATAACAGTTCAGACAGTGGTTTTAACCACCGAGTGAAATTGCCTCCTGGCCCAGATTCCCAGGTGCAGCTCTGGGTACTCCATCCAGGACTGGGATTTACCCCAGTGCATGAGGCTGTACAGCAGCGCTGCTGTCCGTGTTCTAAAAGGGAGGTATTGAAACTAGAGGGACTTCGGAAATAACACACACTTTTAGGGCTGGAGAAAATAATTCTGTCATTCCTATGACAATTCAGTCTGTTTATTCAAAATCTGGGGGCACCCTGGCCAGCACATTTATTGTGTGGAGGAAGCACCAGGTACTGAGCTACCCCTTAGCTGGAATGATCCTGAGACAAACCTACCTGGCAGTAAATGAAAGATTCCCTGAGATGAAATGCACTTTTGTGAAGGAATAAAACCTCTCCTTGCATGCTTTACTCAAGCAACACCTTTCTGGGAGAACACATCAACTCATCCAGACAGTTTCTGAGTACAGAAGCAGTCCAAGCAGCAAGTCCAGCACCTGCAGGGGTTTGTGGCTCTGAACTGCCAGCCCTGAGCAGGGCTGCAGGAGCCCAGCATGTATGATACAGGGACTGAAACACTTCATGTCTGGACATGTCATCACTGGAGAGTCACTAGACAGAGGGGCTTAATCTCAGGGCCACCATGGAAGGGTTCAAAGATGACATGAGATGCACCCATCCAGGCTGGTGAGCCATGGACTGACTGAACTGCAGAAGCTGAAACAGCAGATTAGGACCAGGAGGGTGGACTTCAGAGGGAAACCTGAGCACAAGGCATTGTCAAGGGCACTTCCCTGAGACGCAGGAACCCCTGAACAGCTGGAAGAAGTTGTGCTGGGTGCCCTTGCCTGCAAATTTCATCTGTGCTTCCCTGTGCTCCCACACCATGCCAGGTGGAAGGTGCACAACAGCAGGGAATGGCAGCCAACCTTTCCATCAGTGGTTCATAGCCCAGGGACCTCACTCTTGCAGGAGTGGCTGCAGTACCGACATACGTACAAGCTTTACACCTTCCAGCACATCAGGTAGGAGCTGCCTGTTGTCATACCTTGAAGAGAGCAAACAGTTCACACAGTTAAATGGGGTGCAGCAGGCTGCAGGCAAGTCACCTCAGGAGGGTGAGACATAAACTGTCTCTAGAGACTTGTCTTCTGCTCTGTGTACAACAGACTGTCCTCAGGTGAGCAAGAGGCAGCAGTCCCAGGCACGCAGCAGGAGCTGGCACTCTGCAACCACATGGCAAGCTGCTGCTTGTGAGCTGCAGCCATTCCCCCCAGTGCCCTGAGACACCAGAGACATTCTCCTCCACATCACACCTTCCTCACCCCCCACTTCCAGGAAAGAACCAAGGACCAGAGGCACATCTATGTTTTTTGGGCTTTTAGTTTGAAAAAAGTACTGATTGAAAGTGTACAACAGAACGTGGTGTGGCGGCAGCACCACAGCCAGATTGTTTCACAAATAAAAACAAAGGGCCTTAAATAATCGGGTGCAGATTAAAAAAACCTCAACAGTGAAAAAGTTCTTCCCTCCGAACAGAAATTCACAGGCACAGAAATGGCAACAACCACATGGAGACAATGGGGGGACATCCTTCTCCTAACCACAGGGCTCCGTGCTCACAGGCTGCAGCGGGCTCCTGTGCTGTGGCTGGTGGCTGCTCCCGCGCGCGACTGTGTCCTCAGCTCCCTCTTTGGAATGGTTACAGATGAACAGTGCGACATGCCTTTGCTAACCAGACCCACCCCCCACCCTGGACACGGACAAACAAGGCCTCTGCTAAGGCTAAAAAAAGGACAAGACTTTGGAGTCTTGCATTCAGCATGTTTAAGAAACAAGAGTCTGGTGAGCGCACAGCAAAGTCCCTGTGCGAGGCCTGCTATTCCAGCTTGGCCTTCTTCTTGTTATCGCCACCATTCTCTTCTGCTGGTGCTGCCATGTCCTCCAGTTTCCGCTTCCCACTCTCAGCAGGTGGATGTGCGTTACGGGGTTTGAAACTGATAATGATGCAGGTCATGTTATCGCAGCCGGTGCCATCCCCTGAGGTGTCTGGAGCCAAACACTGATCCAGCAGCTGAAGAGGGACAGGACAGGTTAGCAGAGAGCAGAGGCAAAGCACTATGAATAACTGAGACACCAGGCACCTTCTAGCAACTGGCAGTAGCATAGGGGCTGCCAGACCACAATGGTGAGGACTGGGCTCAAAATGCTGTTTGCAGCCAGATGGGACAGAAACAACCTCAGCAGCCCTGGTTTTCTGGAAGCGGACAGAAACTCTTTCAGCTTGACAACAACCTAGAGGTCAACCCCAGTGCTGCAGCCCAGACACCTCACATGCTGAACAAACCAGTCTGATCGAGACGGAGGGCAGGGTCAGGCACCAAGCTGGGATGCAGAAACACTGTGTGCTGAAGGGATGGTGAAAATCTGGACCTTACCTCTTCTACGATGGAGGAGAGCGGCCTCAGGACTCCATTCTCATCCTTTTGGGTGATCTTGGACTGGATGAAATCCACCACTTCCTGGCTGCTCATCACATTCCTGCATAGAGTGGAGAGGTCAGAAGGGCAAGCAAAGGGAGCAGTCATGCCATAGTGCCTAACTAGCAGCCAAGGTCCCTGGGCCTTCTCGAGGCTCAGCTCCAGAGAAAGATCACAGTAGTGATTCCAAGAGACACAGGTCCCTCACGACTCACCAGATTCCATCACAGGCAATGACCATGAAGTCATGGTCATCATTTATTGTCAGCACTTTGATGTCAGGCAAAGCAGAAATCATCTGTTCTTCTGGAGGCAGATTCTTGTTCCGCTTGTAGAAGTGATCACCTGTGGTGCAGAGGAGGATTACTTTTTCTCCGGTTAGGCCCTGGCAGTGCTGCCTACCCCTGAACAGTGAGAAACACTGCTCTGTTGAAGGGCAGCCCCAGCAGAATCAGAGCCTGTGCTCCCACAGCCAGAGCAGATATGGCTGCTGGCCCATCAGACAGACACAGCTGCCACATGCTTTTACCCTACAATGAGAAAGAGGTGCCTTTGCCAGTTCAGCGTCTTTTCACCCCGAAGCGCCCCACAGCTGACAAGGCTAGCTGGTAAGTGCTAAGTGTTGCTCTGCACTGATATCTACCAGTTTCACGGCCATTTTTTTCTAGTTAGACTGAAATCTTACCACATCAAATACTAAATAAGTTCTACTCATCATCTAGTTAAAAGCTGCTCCTTAAACTTAGCAGCTGGTATGTGCTGGGAGCCTGGATGTCCTGAACACAGCACTCTGCAGGCCAAAGCCATGCCAGCATCCACCCCCATTCTTGCTCACCGATTGCTCTGGAGAGGTTGAGACCACCATTCACTCTCCCATCCATGGTGACCTTGCCACCAGCATTCTTTATCCTGGCCAGCTCCACCTCATCCTCTGGCTTGTGGTCATACGACATATCGACGGCTTTGCCACCTTCTGACACCACACAACGAGAGTCTCCAGCATTAGCCACGATTAGCTGCTTGCCCCGGATAAGTGCCACGACAGCAGTTGTCCCACTGTCAGAGCCAGGCTGAAAAAGACAAATGATTTTTCTGAGGCTCCTTTCTCCATTATCATGTCAATAGGGAACTGGCACTAGCCACCGCAGACCCAGCAAGTGTCCCAAACCCTGAGGTGATGTGTCTCACCCCTTCTTCCCATAAGCATACACAGAACAAAGGAGAAATTGTGAAACACAGCAGGAGCGTGCTCATTGAAAAGCAGGGTCAAGCACTACCTCCATTCCAGCCTCACAAAGCATCAGTGGTTCAGGGTTCTCCAGTGTTCAACGCAACCTGCTATACCATCAGCTCTAGTGTGTTGATCGCAGGCCCAGCCTTCAAGGAGAAGCTGGGGCATCTCTCCAAAGGGAAAAGGTTGGTACTTGGAAGCTGCAGTCCCCCTTTCCCTAACATCCTAGGTCCCTGGCCCATCGGCCAGCACTGCCATGGACTGAGAGGCCACAGCCTGGGCCTGGCAAGGAGCAACGCTCTGCCCAGGAGTAGCAGTGCTAGCAGAGCAGTCCTGCTACTGTCCTGCACTCTCCTTCCACACCCAAACCCACAGCGGTTTCTAAGCACAGCAAACCCAGCAGTGGGGTCAGCCTCACTCATCTCAACCTGTTGCCCAAATCCATGCCCTAACCCTTAGGCTTTTGCATACAGTCAGGCTGTCAGCAGCTGTGTTCAGCCTCAAGAGAACAAAATAGATGTTTTATCCTCATCCGAACAAAGGATGAGGATAAAACATGGCCTTGCTGAGCTCCCCCGCAAGTGCCCTTGGCTCCATCCTATGCTGCAGAACACAAGAACAGGGTGTGCACCTCCTCTTTCCCCTCCATGCCTGGTAACAACATTTCTTCCTCTTCATCCTCATCCTCCTCTGCTTCTTCAGTGTCATCTTCATCATCTTCGTTCTCTGCCTCTTCACTGCTATAACCATCCTCATCTTCACTGCATTCCTATAAGAAATGAGAGATACCACCAGGAGTCACACAGGACACTCTCAGTGCCCTCCCCAGACAGCTGGTCCCTCCATTCTGGGGACAGATGGTAACTTGCCCCAGAAGAGTGAGATGACCTGATACATTTCCCCCACACCTGATGTCTACAATCAGAGCAGCTAGTTTCAACTCCCACAGTTAATGAAGGGATGGTGCATGCAGCAAGACCAATGGCCGCTGCACAGATGAGGGTATGTTTCCTTCAGGGTTATCTAAACAATTCCCAATGCTCCCATGAGATGGTCTCAAAGTATCAGCCTGAAAAACCTACTCCTAGGATACACCTAGGATGA